GGTTTAATTTTGTTTTGATTTATTTTTAGTGGGTAGTGTTTGTTTTTTGATAATTCTGATGAGATTGTTTAGCTCAAATTTGAGAGTGGTTTGGTCAATTTTGGATTGCAAAAATGGTTTCTTTGCTAAATGTAGTTTGATCCTATGAAATTTACAGTGCTAAATCAATTAAAATCTTCGTTTCTAGGTAGTATGCTGCACCGAATGCTTGGTTTATAGTCGGGATTTTCGAGCTCTTGTTTAAGGGTCGTTTGCATTGGAGTTGTAATTAATCAAGTGTTTTGTTTGATGCACTCGTTGCAGGTCGGAAGGCGAATTGAGTCAGTGGTAGTCCCACTGGAACTGCTACAGCAGCTCAAGTCCTCTGATTTCACTGACCAACAAGAATACGATGCATGGCTAAAAAGAACCCTCAAAATTCTTGAGGCCGGTCTCCTCTTGCATCCCCATGTGCCACTAGACAAGTCGAATAATGCTGCACAGAGGTTGCGCCAAGTTATTAACGGGGCATTGGACAGGCCCTTTGAAACCGGTAGAAATAATGAGACTTTGCAGGTTCTTCGTAATGCTGTTACTGCTCTTGCGTCCAGGTCATCCGATGGTCTGTACGATACATCACATTGGGCAGATGGGTTACCGTTGAATCTCCGGCTTTATGAGAGGCTTCTAGAAGCCTGCTTTGATCTTCACGACGAAACATCTATAATAGACGAAGTTGACGAGCTAATGGAGCATATTAAGAAGACCTGGTCAATCCTTGGAATGAATCAGATGCTCCATAACCTTTGCTTTACTTGGGTTTTATTTCACCGTTTTGTTGCAACTGGTCAAGTAGAATTGGACCTATTGTACGCTGCTGATAGTCAGCTAGCTGAAGTTGCTAAAGATGCAAAGGCAACGAAGGATTCCGAGTTCTGCAAGATCTTGAGTTCAACATTGACTTCAATATTGGGTTGGGCAGAGAAGAGACTCCTTGCATATCATGACACTTTTGATAGCAGTAACATTGACACCATGCAGGCAATTGTTTCTCTGGGTGTAGTAGCAGCTAGGATTTTAGTTGAAGATATATCGAATGAGTACCGCAGGAGGAGAAAAAAGGAAGTTGATGTTGCTCGTAGCAGGATAGACACTTATATCAGATCATCGTTACGCACTGCTTTTGCTCAGGCAAGTCCTCTGTATCTGCCATTGGCTGCTCCCTTTCCTTCCTTAAGTAAGAGGGAAAATACAACGAATTTCATATCCATTTTGGTTATAGGGGATCATTTGATGTTGTGTGAAGCCAGTAACATCTATGCAGCATGGATACTAGAGCGGGATTTGTTATCCAACAACTTGCATGATGTTGTATGCTTTGTCAATGTACCCCAAAATACCCCAAAATAAAAGCCTAATTATACGGAGTCTGCATTTCGTGCTTAAGGCATATCATGCATACGACATAACAGTATACTGTTATTGTGAAAGGCCTAAAATGAACAAAAACAATAATTAAAAAATATACATGATAATTGACGTCCGTATATTTCTCTACCTGACCTGAATTTTTTTGTATACTTATTATGCAGAGAATGGAAAAGGCAGACTCAAGCAGGAGAGCATCAAGACACCAGCCAAATCCCCTTCCTGTTTTGGCCATCCTTGCGAAGGACGTTGGTGAGCTGGCAGTTAAGGAGAAAGAGGTGTTCAGTCCAATATTGAAGAGATGGCATCCTTTTGCAGCCGGGGTAGCTGTGGCAACCCTTCACGCATGCTATGCGAATGAGATTAAACAATTCATATCGGGTATAGTGGAGTTGACACCAGATGCTGTACAAGTTTTGACAGCTGCAGATAAGCTGGAGAAAGATCTTGTGCTGATAGCAGTTTTAGATTCCGTAGATAGTGATGACGGTGGCAAGGCAATAATTCGTGAGATGCCTCCTTATGAGGCTGAAACTGCAATTGCAAATCTGGTGAAAGTGTGGATTAAGACAAGAGTGGATAGACTGAAAGAGTGGATTGATAGGAATCTAGAACAAGAGGTGTGAACTAACTATATTCATCTGTTAGTCTGAATCAAATGTTGATAGTGTTTTTCGGCCTTATATATGGAACACTCCTTAGCATTTTCTTTTAATGTTAGGCATTTTTCATTTGTTACTTTTGCTCATTACTTGCGACTTTGGTGAATCTTTCCAAAACATAACCATTTACATTGCACTGTTTCAGGTATGGAACCCACAAGTAAACGAAGATGGATATGCTCCATCTGCTGTTGAAGTTTTGCGAATCTTTGATGAAACTCTGGAAGCATTCTTTCAGCTGCCAATACCAATGCATCCTGCATTGCTTCCTGACTTGATGACCGGCCTTGATAGATGTCTTCAATACTACGTAACCAAGGCAAAATCTGGATGTGGTAAATAATTTTGTAACTCAAGTTATGTGTATGTGGACTAAGGTGTGTTCTTTTTGTGGTAGCCAATAGTGTTCATTTTTGTTGTGCAGGATCCCGCAATACGTTTGTTCCCACTATGCCAGCATTGACCAGATGTACCATCGGATCAAGATTCCAAGGATTTGGCAAAAAGAAGGAAAAATCACCAGTTCCTCAGAAGAGGAACTCTCTGGTTGCGACACTCAATGGGGATAACTCCTTTGGGATACCACAGATGTGTGTTTGTATAAACACATTGCAAAGAATCCGGAGTGAGTTGGAGGTTTTGGAGAAACGGATTATTACTCATCTCAGAAATTCAAAATCTGCTAATGAAGAAGACTTCTCGAATGGACTGGGGAAAAAGTTTGAACTCACACCTGCAGCTTGTGTGGAAGCAATCCAACAGCTTTGTGAGGCAGTGGCTTATAAAATGATCTTCCATGACTTAAGTCATGTTCTGTGGGATGGTTTGTACGTTGGGGAACCATCCTCTTGTAGGATAGACGCTTTTCTTGACGAGCTGGAGAAGAATTTACTCATCATATCCAACACTGTGCACGAAAGAGTTCGAACACGGATTATTACTGACATAATGAGAGCGTCATTTGATGGATTCTTACTGGTTTTGCTTGCTGGAGGCCCCTCTCGTGCATTCTCTCGGCAGGATTCCCAAATAATAGAGGATGATTTCAAAGCCCTCAAAGATCTATTCTGGGCCAATGGGGATGGCTTGCCTTCTGAATTAATAGACAAGTTTTCAACAACAGTGAGAGGTGTGCTTCCCCTTTTCAAAACCGATACTGAGAGTCTTGTTGAACGGTTTAGACGTGTGACCTTGGAGTCATATGGCTCGTCTGCCAGGTCCAGACTCCCGTTGCCCCCAACTTCCGGGCAGTGGAACCCAACTGAACCAAACACGCTCCTCCGGGTGTTGTGCTACAGAAATGATGAAGCAGCCACCAAGTTTCTTAAGAAGACTTATAATCTGCCCAAGAAACTGTAAGTAAATGCGAGGATGCTACATGGAAAGATAACCGTGGGGTGGACTTTTGGCGGGCATTGTCTTGCTGAACATTCTCAGACCGTGCTGAGATGTCTCATTTGCCCTAGGAAGTGGCAGTGGTTTTGTATAGTAAATTCTTGAGACGAGTGGTATAAATCCGGCAGTTTGCCAAGACACGAAGACGAGTTTAGAAGGACGCAAACTTCTGGAGGTCGATTATTCTTTGTCTTTTTCATTCATTTTCGTCGTTTAGAGGCTTATATAATCCTATTGGTGTTATTCTTTTAAATGTTCTACTGCACAGCATTTTTTCCTACTCTCGAAATGTTCGATGTTATATTTTGTCAGTCATTTGTTGGTTTTCTTGTTGGTATAGAGAATAACAAGGTTTTGCTGATCGTATAATTGATCAGAATGTGATATAAGTGATGCTGTTGATTGCAATTTATGGATCCCTAATTCGCTAAAGCAATTGTTTCCCTTTCAGCCGGATGCAATGGGCAGAGGGAAGTGATTTTCGCACTCTGCACTCCTCCGGCTTTTTCCTTTTCTTTTGTATGAAATAAATCAAAGACAAAAACAGAAGACGAGAGTGAAAATCACTACCCTAAGATAACTCTTTCTGTAATCCGAACTTCTACTCGAACATTATAATGCTAATTTACGAAGACGCCCATTTCGGGGAATTTCTGCAAGATACCACCCAACACCTAATGCAGCAGTTCAACGCGTTGGTGTCTATATCCCAGAGCTGCCGGGAAAACAAACACTTTATTGACTCCTCCAAGGTGGCACGGCCGAGATTTGTAGCAGGCGCTAACCGCGCAGAAGTGAGGGCTTGCGGTGGTAAGTCTGCCTCGACAACGTCAGGACGGAGCTTAGCCATGGAAAGCTCTTGGAGTTTATTCAACAAGAGGCTTGTCTGAGACACATTTAGCAGAGGCTGCTCCGGCCAGTTAAGCAACTTCTACTGCAAAAGAGTTTAAAAAATAAAAAAATAAAAAAAAGCCTCCAGCACCTTTCCTACCATGCTTGCAATGGTACACCCCAGCAATCTAAAAACTGAAAAACTTTTAAACACAAACAGTTTAGAGGGAGTAGGCTAAACCTCGTAATGATGGATCATGCAAGCGGTACTACTTCTTATGTTCCTATTTCTTGTACATAGTACATAAACTGATGATAATTTAGCATGAACAAACGACATTATCTATACTAGCTGGTGGGAGACTAGGCTAAGCCTCGTAATGGGCTAGCCATAATAACGTGGTTCAAATTTGTCTTTGGCAACCATCGAACATAAGACTTCTCACTTACAAGTAAAGAGGAATACCAATAGACCATAGTACTAAGTGGCAGTAACGGTCAAATGTTATCTGTAGTTCTCTAAGTAAGATACTTTAGGTTTGAAACTCGAAAATGACAAGTCCGTGTTCAATTTATTTTTTCACCGCAATAGTGTAGACATATCTTCGTATAAAGAAACTATTTTATCCTATAAAAATCATAATTCGAATTGTTGAATCACAAAATATGTCAATTACAATTTAGTAGAGTGACGGAGCAGACAAATACATGATCCCCAAGCTCTTTATTCAAACATTACAAATCATTTCCTCAATTGCATATAATCTCTTTATTTCTAAAGAATCAAACTCTCACTTTACATCTATATAGCAAGCAAACAACTTGGAAAAACGAACTTCCAAAGTTTCTGTACAAACTGCACAGAGATTTGTATTACAGCTTCAAACATATGTACATTGCCTTTGTATTCACCATTTGGAATCACACAGCTCGATTTGTCGGAGAAGAACCGAGACATTCCTTTTATCATCTCTTACATCTCTGCTTCGGCGTCTACTGTCAAATTTCTTTCCCCTCTGTTATCTCCATCATCAATAGGTTTTCGCTTATCAACAGTGTTTAATTCTTCTTGCTTGAAATCCGCTGCAAGAGGAGGCCACAAGACCTCAGCAGGAGAATAACAGTCAATCGTCTTACCATTTCCAAGAACCCCACTCCTTCCTCTCCCCCAAGACCAAAGCTTAAATCCATCATTTGCAACTAGAACAGTATGGGCAGCCCCACAGACAACTTGGATTGGATCCTGAAATTTTGTTCCATTCAATCCGTTAATCTGTAGGGGAGAGACGGCATCCCCTGAATCAGTCTCGCTAAAAGTAGCATCTCGGCATAGGCCAAGACCCTTCTCCATTCCCCACGACCACACATCTCCGGCAGATGAAACAACGCTGGTGTGAAATAAGCCACAGTCAAGAGACACCAGATATACATTCTGTGGCAATTCTTTCACAGGTTCAGGAGACAATCCACTTTCGGTGGTTCCATGCCCGAGCTGCCCATTTTCTCCAAGGCCGAACGTCCAACACATGCTTTCCAATGTGTCATTTGGGCTTTTTCTGTGGGTAAGCAAAGCTGTGTGAAAAGCACCACATGCTACCTCATAAACTGCGAAGGGGGAGTCGTGATCAAATAGTTCTACTATTTGGGGACGATTCCTGCTCTCTTTATCCCCCAGGCCTAACTGGCCATGGCCGTTACCGCCCCAAGAGAAGCAAACAAGATCTTCACCTTTATATGCTTCTCCGGCAGAAACCAGGGCCACAACATGCTCATTTCCACATGCCACCTTCACAACAACGTGGCCATAGAAATCCCAAACAGGAGTTGGGTTGCAACTGCTAATCAGCGAGAATTCACCTTCATTGCTGCTGCTTTCGTGTGGGAAATTTCCCCACACCCAGAGGACGCCAATGCTATCAATTGCTAGGGACATCATCCCTCCAGCTTTAACAGAACAAACCTGATGCAGAAAAAAACGGTAACTGAAAAAATTATACAAGGGTCTTATATTAATCATTCACTTACTGCAATGATAATATAACTTCTTCCACACCTTTAGTGGCACGTCACTCTCCGTTGCAGAGGCCACCTCAAGAAACTGCTCCAGCAAGCTGGGCACCAAAGAATTTTCTCCAGTTACTCCAAGTTGGCCATCCGTTCAACAGTCAAGGATTTAAACAACACAAATGAAAGAACACAGTGGCCATTTCCATAAGTAAATCTTTTCATTGCACTGAATTACTTAGTAACTCTAATGAAGGATACATTTGTTGTGACCCCAGCACCAAGCCGATCCATCTTCTGCCACCACGAAAGTAAAGTTAGAACAGAGGAGTTTCATGTCCAGCGTTCGATTATTTCACTGTTTTATTACTTCAATCTTCGAACCGATTGACTAAACACCTACCTGTATAGTTAGTTTATCTATAATATTATCATATCTAGTTTGTCAAGCAACAAAATCCCATCACACACATACTACAACCACACTGTAACATTTTAAATTCCAATGCCATTAATCCCAGTAAAAACTTCAAAGTCGCCTTCTATGTATGCAAAATGGAGGAAAGTTATAAATTTTTCATTAGACGATATTTTAAACTACCCTAATATATAGGAAGCGCAGGATTCCAACTTTGGTATAGCCAACTGGCCTAACACACATCTGCGGAAAAGTTGTGAACTTTAGTTATCAGAAATAACAGCAATCATAAACTGACCAGCAAGAGCAAGACTGTGGTAAGCACCGGCGGCAACTCCCACAAATTTGGGCCTCGCTCCTTCTTCACTGCGAGGATCATTGAACTTGATTCGAACCGGGGAGAGCTCGTCGGACTCCGAACCGGTCCCGAGCCGCCCAAACATGCCTCTTCCCCACGAATACACAAACCCATCGCCGGTGAGAGCCATAGTGTGTGCTTCGCCGGCGGCCACCGCCACCACCTTTTGAGACAAGTTGTCGCCGTTCGGAGGAGTGACGCTTTCCTCTTCCATTCCTGGAGCTGGAGCGACCCAGAAGAGAGGTGTTTGAGAAAATGCCGATCAGAAATGCAGAGGCCTTCTTCTTTAGCTGGAATTTCTTTGTGCAATGACCTGCTTGTCAGATGTGATGACAAAACGCCAATGAGAGCTACACCATATATAATGAAAAGTTTTGTAGAAAAATACCTTATACAGACATGTAGTACTTATGTTGTGACAGTTAACATTGCCTTTCATACTCTCGTTACGCACTCATGTTTATTTATTTTGTATCGATTATTTTTAAATTTATTGAATTTAAATGTTAGATGTATACAAAAAAATAAAAATAAAAAAACATGAAAAATAATCTTTTTTTTTGTTTTTTCGTATAAATGATATTTTAGATTAATCTATTCTGAGAGAAATAAAATGTTTTGAAGAAATCCTTTAAAGGAAGGGATCTTTATTTTTTTTATAAAAATATGGATTAGTTGTATGGTCCACATCATATCGAACTTTAATGATCCGAACCGTCTATTTTTCAAGTTGTACCTTATAGATCATCCTTACAAAATATTAACTAAATCAGAAATATTTAAGACATATAATTGGGTTTAAAAAAAATGAACGAATACTTTGTTATATAAGAAATAATGAAATTTGATCTTGATAATTAAATGAGCAAATAGTTTCGGATTGAATTGAATTTTTACAAGGATGATCTATGAATCAAGACTTACAAAATAGACCGTTCATATCGTTGAAATTTGATGTGGAGTGGATCCCACATCAGATCCCCATTTTTTGAAAAAAATGGGATTCCTTTTACATAATGGGCCTGAAGTTTTGAATATCCAAAACATAATTGGTTGAAAAAAAATATATGCTAAACATCAGGACAATCCACCGCTTAAATTTTGTTAATCAATTTGATTAAGGGCTTAAAGAAGACGAGGAAAACACCAGATTTTTCCATGCAAATTTAGAGCCACAAATTAAAAATCAGCATAAATGTGAAGCAAAATAATAGAACTTGGGTCTGGTTGAAGGTGACTTGAACCAATTTTGATAATGCTAATCTATCTGCCGATTTGTAGTGTGAAGTTGTCATTGGCAGATGGTTGATTGGAATTGGATTTGTCAGACGCAAGAAGTTTAAGCACGTTGCACGTTGCATTAAGAAGCTTATCCAATCGATTGGGTTTCTAATTGTCAAAACAATTGATCATTAGAATTTGACTTAACCTGCCACAGCCGTACGGTTGATCTCTTGCTTAGAGACTAATCCAAGAAATGTCCACTCGTTCCTAATACAATGAGAGAATCTACCCTGCAATGGGATATACATCTCCTTGTATCTATAAGACGTGATGTGTATGTATACACAATGAAATATATTTGGTGACACGACATATTTTTCAAATAATGAATGGTTGTTGAAAGAAGCGCAGCAGCTTATGCTTAAATTCAATTAAATTTTGACAAGTGTTTGAACAAGTGGAGTGATATTGGTTCAAGTTTATCTATTTTTTGAATACGTGTTGAACTCTGGTTGAATTCAACAGAAGATTCTGCTTTTCTTTAAACAGTAAATGATTATCGGATAAATTACATAAAACTATTTCAATTATTGGATCAATCACAGTTTCATACCCATCGTTAAAAATTTTAATATCATACCTCACCTACGAATTGTTACAATCAATCTATTTGTCTATCAATTCTTCTGTTAAATAGTGACTCGGCTTGAGACGCGTTTATTTTTTATTAAAAAATTAATTAAATATTAAAAACTAAAAAAATAAAATTATTTAATAATTTTTTTTGCATGGGGGACCCACCCCTTGTTAAAAAAAATTAAAAATTAAAAATAAAAATAAAAAACATAAAAACTACACAGAATCCTCTATTCAATTACACACCCCACCGCAGTGACCGCACCAAATCTCCTCCCTCCTCCGGGTCAACCCCGCCATATCCTTCCTCCTCTTGACGGAGGCCCTCTTCGCCCTCCCCTCCATCCAACGCACCACCGACGAGCTGTCTTCAAGGACTTCAACTTCTCGGCGCTCTACGTCGCGAACTCCCCCTCCCTCGCCCATCTCTGCGAGGCCGGCCATGAAATTAAGGCGCAGTGCAGCCTCGTCTTCCAGAACTTCACGCACGCGTCTCCGTCTTCCAGAACTTCATCATCAACTACGACGCCAAGAGGATCCATTAGTTGGGCCGTGGTGGCTGAGTTGATGAAATCGCGAACTAGGATTCGGGATCTGCGAACGAGGAACGCACGGAAGTGGGTTCGAATCACTCGGGAGGTGGTGTCTCTGAGAGAGCGGGAGTACGAAGAGTGAGAGCAATGCGAGCCAGAGGTGGAGTAGTGGTGGAGGGAGGATTCGAGGGCTTCAATACGGGAAAGGAGGGAGGAGATAAGTTGGTGTTGTGGTGGTTGTTGGCGGAAACGGTGTTTTGGGTGGTGGGCATTGTGGGTGTGGTGAGGGTTTTTGCGGCGGAGATTGTGGTGGGTGGAGTAGGGATCTGGTGGGGTGGATTGGAGGAGCTGAGAAGCGAGGGCTTGGAGAAGTGGGTCAGTGGTTGATGGCGGTGGTGGCGGGTACGGGTGGTGGATTTGGGTGCAACAGCAGGTGTTGTAAGAGCTGGGGCAGCAAATGGCAGTAGTGTGTGGGGGTGGGGGAGGAGATGTTTAGGGCAGGTGGGCTCTGGGTTTGGGGTGGTTCTGGTTTTGGGTTGGGAGAAGACGGGAGCGGGGAAGAAGGGTGAGGAGGATAAGAGGTGGTCCCCCATGCAAATTTTTTTTTTTTTTTAGTTTTTAATATTTAATTAATTTTTTAATTTTTTTAATAGAAAATGGGTCCATCTCAAGCCACATCAATATTTAACGGAAGAATTGATAGATAAACTGAAACTGATAGAAGGAATAAAATTGTAACAAATTCGTAGATGAGGTATGTCGTTGAAATTTTTTAAAGATGAGGTATGAAACTGTGACTGATTCAATAGTTGAGGTAGTTTTATATAATTTACCTATCATTATTCTATTTTAAAGCTTATCATGCTATACACGTAATAATATGGACAATTTCAATTCGAGTAATTAAATAATAAACCATTGGTCTATCTCTTTCAAATTTTTGATCACTTTCAAGTTTCCACACTAAGCAATTTGTAATTTCCTTTTCCTAGATTATCCGTCAATCTATTTACAATTACGAAGCATCCCTTGTAACCTGTCCTTGTAATAATTTAACTTAATTTACATGAAATTACACTGAGATTATTTGGGTCAACCATCACCAGATAGACCCTCACTAGCATTACCAATGTCATCTTGATCATGATTAGTAGCATAATAAGCAGCCAAATTCAAGTACTTATCTTGTTTCACAATCCTATTAATATCCTTCCACCTTGCCCTACAAATCACGCAACTAGCCGACCTCCTCCCGCTGCTCCTCTTCCACGTCATCAGACACTCTTCGTGAATAGGGTTTCTACACGTCCCGCAAGCCACCACCTTCTCGTGCTTTCCCGCCATCTCCTCCAAACAAACCGGGCAGCTCCTTCCCTCTTCAATTTCCACCTGATGACGTGGCTTTGTTGCTGACGACGACGAGGAGCCCTGAAAAAACAACTGGTGAAACCTCTCTCGAAGGCTGAAAGCCGCCAGTGCTTCCGGCAGCGTAGGCAGCCCTAAGAGGCGGTTGATCTGGCACGGCCGCAGCGTCCTCCTCCTCAGACATGCGTCATCGAGGGGAAGGCCCAACGCTCGGATGAACACGAAGAAAATGTGCTTGCATGGGGTTGTACGGTCCGGGCACGTGCATGAAGGAGTGGCGGATAAGGAGACGGTGTAGACGTTCCCCGTGGCGCCTAACACGAAGAAGTTGGAGTCTCGGCGGTGGAGGAGGCGGAGGTTGTGGTGGAGGGCTCGAAGAATGCGGTCGGCAAAGGGTTGCGTGGGTTTGAACCGGGTTCGCTTGCGTTGGGGGTGGTGGTTTGGTGGGGAGGAGGTGGACGCAACGGAGTCCATTAGGGCAGTTATGGCAGCTGTTAAGGTGGTGGATTATTGGGAACAAAATGTGACAAATGCGGAAGAACTGTTTGTTATGTGGGAATGGTGGGATTTGTATGTGGATGGGATTCTTTGTGTGAGATGAAGGAGTACGTGAGGGATAGCGGGAGGGTAGGGAAGTTGGTCAAGTTTTTTGGAGAACTGCGAAGCCTTGACTTGGAGAATTGGATTGTGAGGGTAGACCCTCAAGCCACGTTATAGGGGCAAGTGCCGTGGTACAAATGTTTGGCAAACCATTTCTTTTCTGCATTTGCAAATTGGATAATATCCTAGAGAATTATTCTCCAAAGCCTAGCACCAAAATAGTTAGAGGTCTAAACTCTAAATTGTGACCAACGTTACTCTCGGTTTGGATGATTATTCTACTTTTTTATGTTGGAAGAAATTTTAAGTTCGAATATCTTCTCATGTTGATTAAAAAGACAAAAGAAAAAAAAAACTCTAAATAATTGTTACCGATGATTATTGTCTATTTTGATACCGTTTCATAGCATGCCAACATGATATATCTAATTCAATCATATTATAATACGTTTATGCCAATATTTTTGTCTAAATTATGAACAATAAACTCTTCAGACTTGGTTAATATTGTTAACATCATTTCCTAGTAGCAAACATGATGAAACGGGTTGCCTAGAACAATGTATGTTTTGCACCCACATTCGAATCATGCTCCAAGTAAAAATATCGTCTAAATGGTGTCCTAATTTGTTTTTTTGGGCTAGACTCATAAAGTTGAGTAGTTCTTTGTACACCCACGTTTCGTCTTTAAACACCTAGTTGCCTGTGAAGAATTTAGTATGAACTTCTGAATGGTTGTAATTGATTTCACCATTCAAAAGAGTTATGTGATGAAAGTAATTACAACAGTCTTCTTTTTGTTTGAGGAAAGAAAAAGGCAGGGCTACTGTACTTTATTGTTAAAGTAAACAATAATCCAATTTTTCCCTCCCATAAAACCCCTTTGTTTGATACAAGCGGTACTCGGGAAAGAGGAAAACTAACACAAGAATATATGTTTCCATAAGTAAATGTTGTTAATCATTCAGACTATTGCTTTAACTATGACAATCGTTATTTTTCTTTTTGACAAAGCGAAATTCTAAATCTACCTATGGAACCGAAGATTCAACTCAGTTAGAAAAAATTGGAGACACTAACTTTTCCAACTGACGTAATATTCACTTCTCTTTGTTGTGAGTTAATTGGTTATGGCCTATGCAAAAGTGAGTATAATTTGAGAAATTTAGAAAAGTAACCATATTTTAGACGTCATATAGAATTATAGCCATCCTTTTAATTTTATGATATTTTTAACCAAAACTTGATGTAAATTCCTTATTACTCTTAACCATGAAAAAACAACAATTAGTTGAGATCTTGAAGCATTAAAGAGGTAGCCTCTTCAATACTACCCAATACCCCTATTCTCGAACCCCTCCATTTCCTACACTCTTTTTTTTTTCATCAATATATATATGTGTGTGTGTGTGTGTATATATATATATGTATATATAGTAGATATAGATATTCAAATGTAATAAGAGTACATAAAAATTGAAGATAATCCGAAGCAAAATTTGAATCTAAAAATAGGGGAGCAAACTTTTAAGCTAAAATTTGTGTGGGGCTTTTCTGATAAACTAGTGATTGAAAATATAAAAGCCAATAATGTTATAAATCCTGAATAATATAAAAGCCAATAATGTAATAAATCCCAAAGAAAAACATTCACATCATGCGCTGGAATGGAGTCTAACTAGATTCTTGCAAGTTTGGCGATTGTGGCCTATCCCACCACAGCAACTACACTTCTTCACTATCATTCCCTCCCCCTGAGATAGGATTCAATTTGTCTTGCGTCTTCCAGATACAACTGGTTTGATTGGAGGTAACACAAATCTATTCTACACCTCTTCTGACACACTCCATTCACTCTTGTTTCCAACCGGCCAAATGGGCTCCACATACGCTAGCACAATTGCATTGGCTGTGTAGAATTTGGAGCACATAGTGTACACTAATGTGTTGCGAATTCGACATGCAACAATTGCATGGACACATGGAAGTTGGTTGAGATCAAACCTTCTACACGTCCATGACTTGGCATTTAGATCAACTATATGATATAAGTCTGCCTCATGTACTTGCAATGCATGGTGATTAATGGAAGATACCTGCATAGTTGTCAACCATGTGAAAAGAAAAAAAATTAAAGAATGCACACACATTACCTTGAAGAAACACCAATGGGAGAAATTAGGAACTTAAAAACTTATTATAACACTTCAAATTATGAGTAAATAGCAAATCTTCTAATCTGATAAGTGACAACCAACAACAAGAGATCAATTAATCATAATTATCATATTCTTTTATCAACCTGTTTATTTGTTTGAAACATGTTAACTATGTTTTTGGTTAACAAAATATGTGCACTTACCACATAGATTTGACTGTCATCCAGCTCACTCAACCATGAAATATTACATGTTTCCTGGCCACAACTGATTAAATAAAGAGTTAAGAAATGCTTTTAGCTTTTAGATTTTAGCTTGTAGCTTTTGGCTTTTAGATTTCTATTTAAAACAATAGGTGATTATCATGATCCTGATAAGAACAAAATGTTGGTCTTATTCGGAAAATTTAGAGAACAAGTTTGGGAAGTTTTTCTTTGGCTGAGGCCTCAACCTTTGACTATGAAGAAGCACTTTTGGAAAAAAAAAAATAGAGCTACTATGCTACCTAAATAATAAAATCTTTGTCTACCTAAATGATAAAATCTTTATCAACATTGCAAGTATGGAGGGGTGTCGGTTCTTTATTTTTTTTATTCGCCTGTTCTTGGTAGGGACTCTATGTGGATTTAGGTGTCCAGTGTGCATTAGGAATGTGAGAGTGCATAAAAATGTAAACAAATGATACATACCGACATACGCAAGCCTCTATTTTGATTCTTGTGCACTTTTTCCTTTGCCCACTTTGTTAAGGTCGAATTCCATGAACTTGTTGTGTTTCAACATTCGTTGAACCACTCTTGGAGAATACCTCTAAGGTGATCCGCTGGAGCATTGATAGGCAACCTTCGAGCATCCTTCAATTTTGCATTCATGGATTCAGCAATGTTGGTTGTCATCATGTTGTATCGTTTTCCACTAAAATGTGCCAAAGCCCATCTATGATACCCAATTTCTTGAAGATATTTTTACATCTTTGATTGCCTAAATATCAGTCATAACACTATTAAACTCTGACACAAAGTATGCTTTTGCCGTAGTGTAATATAACTTAAACATCGTTTCATCATCACCAAAGTTATTCCTCATGTTGCCAACTCCATGATACATACAAGCTCCATGATATGCCTCTGGAAACACAGTTTGCACAGCTTTACCAATGCTTCCATGTCGATCAAATACAAACACCAAGTCTGTTACCTCTCCAATGACACTTCTCAATTTTGTAAGAAACCATGTCCATGAAGCGTCATTTTCTGAGTCACCCACACCAAATGCCAAAGGATATATTTGATTTTGTCCATCATGGCATACAACGACAAATAAGATGCCAAGATATTTACCCTTTAGAAAAGTCCCATCAACTACTACCACATGCCTCATAGAACCATGAAATCCCCTTATAGAGGCTCCTATTGCCATAAAAAAGTATAAAAAGTGATTATTGTCATCCGTTTCTATATGCGTTACTGTCCCAAGATTTTTACTTTCTAACATGGCACAATAGGCAGGAAGTGCGGCAAAAGATTCCTCTGGCGATCTTCAGATCATGTCAAATGCATGCTCTCTTGCTCTCCAAGGTTTCTTGTAGGTCATATTAACCCTAACTTGTGCTCGCATATCCTCAATGATGTCTTTAGGTCTATATACACGTGATGCCCCCTCATACTTTGACTTTATAAATTGGCCAACAACAGAACTAATTGCTTGCCGATGATCACGCTGAACAACATCTAATGAACAATAATGAACAAGAATGATAATTCGCCACTTGCAATTATCATCCACACATCTAATTTCCAAACGATCCTTAGTTGATCTTTCCACTTTAAACTCATAATTCTTCCTCATTGCAATCATAGCTAATTGTTTTTGCAACTCTTTCTTACTCGAGTACAATTGTCCGACCATAATATCTCTATCTGTATTCAAATCTACAATATTATCATAGTCTTGTATACTCTTACGTTTGTTACGACGAGACGACGATAAATTGACATTAGCATTCATTAGACTGCACATTATCAAAATGGGTACTGTCATGATAGTCATCAGTAAACTCAAAACTTACATCTATTGAAGTCTCACTAATCTAGGCATTGTCTTGAAGAACTTGACTTGGTTGTTCATCACCCAAAATGTCATCATTCTCTTGAATTGTTGCTGTTGGTGATGGGGAACTGTATGCAATTGGGTGTTCATCTTCAAGTTCATTAAGAGGATATGTTGTAACATATAACGAAATCTTGTTCAGTTTTACAAAAAGACTTTCACATACCCAACTAGTCACATCGTCATTGTCTACAATCTCCATCATATTTTGCATCCCTAAGTTGCTCATGCATTTATGATGTACTGAGATTCTAAATTCACTCGAACTAACATGAAGACTATATACCATGTATAAGATCTTGATGAGTAACTTTGGTTGACACTACCATTGCTTTCACTTGACCATCTGTGTATTGGCTATCAACCGTCCTCCATCCGTAATGGATCACGGTCACAAATTGAGTCATATTCTGAAAGAAAAAAAAAATTAATTAGCGCATCTAACTAACCTGCAAATATATTAAAATTAGGAAAAAGTTTTAGAAAAAAATTAATTAGCACATATAACTAACCTGCTAGGGTGTTGGGTTTCGGGTTTCAGTGGTGAAATGGGCACCTCCCTAATATATGGCGGCGATGCCAAAGCCTTAAGAATCCACATCAAGCAAAAGCTCCCCCTTGATTCCAAAACTCACTTGCAGGTCCTCTTTTCTCCTGATTTTCTTCAATTTTTAATCTTTCCATGTTTTTCTTTTTCTTTTTTGTCAAAATCTCTCCCTGTTTTTTATTCTTGGTTGATTGTTGTTGATTGCCACGAAGGTTTTGTTTTCGTTGTGAGAAACCATAATATTAAGAGTACATTAATCCTTTTACATCAAGTTTTGGTTAGAATTATCATAAAATTAAAATGATGGCTATAATTTTATATGGGATCGAAAATATGGTTACTTTTCTAAATTTTCTGTATAATTTCACCCAACACTTAATAAACTGAAATAATAATATTATCCATGACCTTTTTGGTAATTTCACCAAAAATGCAAAAACCCCACTAGAATTCCTGCCTGTCCAACCTCCAACTACTGTGAGTCTGCGACTGTTAACCCCAAAACCCTAACTCCGTCGTATCTCCGCTGAGTGCTCCAATGGCTTCTCGCTGCAGATCTTTCTCGAAGCCGGTTTTCTCTCTTCTCAAATCCGCCGTCAACAAACCGGCGTTCAAGGCCACTCCCATGCCTTCTCTCCCCACTGCCCGCCCTTCTATCAATCTCTCAAGGTGAGCAAAGTCCTTTTAAACCCATTAAATTCTCAATATTTTGGGATAATTCTCAATTGGGCATTGTCGAATTTTTTAATTCAGGTCGTTTTCTCAATTGGGTTTTTCCTCAAGTCAGCAAAGCTCTTGACTTTTTTTCGAATTTTTTGAATTGCTGGCCGATTCCTCGGTTGGGTTGTCTGCAATCTCTGCTTCCATTTCACACGGCGGTGTCTTCAGCCCGGCTCACGTCGTGCCTCGGCATTGACTCGAGGAGCTCGAGGTCATTGTCTCAGGGTATGCTCGGTGCAAACCCAGGAGTTTGATTTCTCCAATGTTTTGTATTTATTATCTGTAGGCAACTTTTTAACTCTATAGTTAGCTAAAAGTTGAATCCTGAATTTGTATTGTTCTTCATTTCCATGATTTTAATGCTCAATTTGTTTACTTGTCGTTGCAAATCCATGAAACGAAGAGGCACAAAATTGGTATTCACTTATAGCACTCTGAACCATTATGTCTTTGTTATTTGCTTACTCAGAATGTGCAAACTTCGGATCTTTTGTTAATGTGATTTATCTAGTCAAATTTTCGGTCTGAGAACAAAGTTTACAGGAGCAAATTTGGGCCTCATAGTTAGAAAATTGAGAGGGTAAATAACATCTAAAACTGGTAGAGTAATAGTACTGCTCAAGAAAACCAGCTTGCACTGACCTTTAGATGTGTTGTTTGACGTACAACATGTCACAGTTGAGAATTCATCTAGTGTTATTTGTTGCCTGTGATAATACTTTAGATTTTGGTAAGATTCAAACTTTTAGAAACAGGCACCTAGATTGGGGATGGAAGGTGCTGTTTGCTGCCAATAGTGTTGAAACTCTATTGGTTTTATGTTTTCCTTACTTTATTAGATAAACTGTGGCTTTTAAACCTCAATGCGTGGGAAGAAATAATTCATGAAAAGTTTCAGCCAAATTGCACACTCCATACAAAATACTTGACATATTCTTTATAAGGATAAACTTCCAAGAAGCAAGAAATTTTTTCAATCTAATATTTTTTGAGAAACTAATGGCATATAATCTTTTGAAGTCTCAAAAGGAAAAAGGGTATGCATCTAATCTATGCACTGTACTAAAACCATTGTCTCTACCTTTAATTTCCTGGTTCAGTTTTCATAATGCTTGGAGGTTTTTCCCCTCTATGATCTTGTGAAGTCATGATTGGATTTTGAGCTTCAATTTGTTCTCTAGATGTTTAAGTCTTACAAACTTAGACGTTTTTGTGACTTGGACCATTTTGTTTCAGTGCTTACATCTAAGTTGTTTACTAGTCTTTGAGTATGATGAATGTTTGAGCATTTGTTATTTTAACTGTATCATATTGTTCTCATGGAGTGCATATGATAGTGGTAGTTCAAATTTTGATTCCCTGATGGAAGACCTTGTAATGTGTACACAAGCCTGAAAAACTAAATCCTGTTCTCCGGTGTAAGCCATCAGTTGAAAATTGTGGTTTTCAAGTTTTGATGTAAATAGTTAGTAACCAATCATTAATGTGGGAAGAGCCATCTGATTTGTAAAGGCCGAAGAAAGATGTAAATAATTGTGCTCATTTTATGATTAAATTGCCCATCATTCTTTGGGTTGTGAATACGTGGTTCTTAACACGACTGTGGTACACTCAGAAGTATGGAAATCTTTTCTGTTTGAAAATTATAAGTCTGACATTACATTACTAGTATTTGCCCTTCCTATTATGATCTATCCCTTCTCAAAATAGATGGATTTACAAATTTCTAATGGTGGTTTGCAACTACTCGACCACTTCATGCAGTAATACTGGTTATATATGATTTAGTTTGTTCTGCAGAATATTTTTGTATGCTAAGGATTCAGATTACCTGATTAAGTCGTTTTCATCAGTATTGATAGTGAGATCCTTTAATTCTAACACACTCTGCTTATTTTTCTGCTTCTTTAATATATTCAGAAATAGGTCTCAGCGTGCCTCGATAAGAGATTGAAGAAATTGGAAGATAGAGGCCAATGGACGAGTCTCATCACCTCTGCTCTCAGCAAGTCCTTTTCATCTTGGAGTTAAGATTTAAACAGTTTTGTGTCACAGCAGCTGCAAGAATTGAATGCTCTGACTCAGAGCTATAATTGTTTGTATTCTCCTTCAAATATTTCTTTTACGTATTTACTCATGCATGCCATACACCACAGCATAGTAGAATTGTCGGCATGCCATACGCCACAGCATAGTAGAATTGTCGGCATTTATGCTCTATAGCAGCACAGCAGCAATGTAGAGGAGAAAATAATAGTGATGAGTTTGTCACATTTCAAAGGGTGATATTTTGGCTTGTGTTCTAAGTTACAGTTATGCATTTTTCTCTATTTACCTGAAAAAAAGGTAAAGGTGCCATTGCCAAGGTGGGCAACTGGGTTTCTGTCACGTAGCACTCAATTTGATAAAAAGGACAGGATAAAAAGTGAAGTGCAGGTGACGATGCGGGGCGGTCGATGTGATATGTTGATGGTGTCCAAAATGTCTCCCATTTGTTTGAAAAAGGAGCATTGGCCTTAGTCCCAGTATGTCTCCTACCTCCTCCATCACACAATACACTCGCATGTGCACTTCTTTCAGACTGAAGCTATGTTCATGCACGGAACTCACTGTCAATGTGTCACTTCCCAAGCATGATTGAAATGCAACGAAAATCTAATCAGTTGTTTCGTATTCAAGGGGTTTGCAGTTCAAGTTGTTAATTGCGCTTATCCTCTGCCCACTGTTTTGTGTTCGATTCCTGCTGTCCTGATATTGCTTGTGCGGGAGATTTTGGTCCTTCTAATGAGGTGAAGTATCATTTCAGTCTAAATAGTTTCAAGTGTTGCTAGTCAATGTTTTTGAATTGCCATGGTGGATGGGGTTTGTTCTTCAACTCACTACATCTCGAATTCAAACCACCCCACCTTCCCCAAAAACCCACCTCTTTGATGTATATTAGAATAGTGATATCGCTTTTTCAAGAATAATACTAAGTATCCATTATTCACTGAATGAGCCTTGGCTGCCAGACATTTCAATGGTCAATATTCTTGTGAACATCAAAACCCCACTCCATAGCTAAATAAACAGTTCTCATTAGCAGCACCTTCTGCAAGTGTACAAATAACCTGCCCTGTGTATTTGTTCAGTTGGTACTTGAACGGAAATTTAATTAATTAATTAATTGATAAAATATATTGAAGTTGGAGAGTCACTGGTTACCATGTTAGGGCAATTGAGAGAGAAAAAGCTTTGGGAGCTTATAAAAATGGTGGCCAAGTCACTGTCGGAAAAGATAAAAAGAAAAAAAGAAAAAAAAAAAAAAAAAAAAAAAAGGAAAGGAGACAAAACCCTTTATAATGCACATGAACATATGCTCCATGCATGGAAGCCATTCACTTTTGGTTTCAAAGATTTCAATTATTGACTAATGACCATATTTAGTAGTATTAACTTTAATCTAATCCTCCCAACTGAAAGAGCAGTTTTCACTGAATTAACAAAGATCAAAGGACATAAATTAATTAGGGGTGTATGAGAAGTAAAAATGGGTGTTTGGATAGCACACGTCTAAACACATCTCACTTATATATGGTACAACTTTTTATTGTATTACTCTATAAAGAAATAGCATGCATGTAGTCATAAAAGATTTTTGTCCCAAATTGAGCCAATTATATAGAAGAATAAACTCCACCTTGTAATATGTTAACGCTCAAAATTAGGAGATTAACAAAGTCCAGTGTGGTCATGTGGTCAGCCCTTGATTGGCTTCGGATTGCAATGATAAGAACTGAACAACAAAGTTTAAGTGGTTCACCCTGAAAAACTGGGTTACATCTGGGTTATGTCCACTAAATCACTTGTATATATTGAATGAAAGGTTACAAATAGCGCTCGGCATAAACTCGTTTCTTTATTCCCTTTTTTTTGTTTGGCATGTTCTAAGGAGTACTCGTCTTCCTTATATAGTCCCTCAATGAGCCTCATGTCCATGGGCTTGAGTCTTCCACCGCTTTGCATTCAATGCACTGAATACATATAGTTGACATGCTAGCTGCCCCTTCTTTACTCGACACATGGTGACGAAGTGACATTTGTTTAGGTCCACTTGCATGTTTTCTTGGGACAATGTGTACCGAGCGCCTTGTTTGGTCCTAGGGTTTATGGGATTCCTCACCTGAGCGCTTGATCTGACAGCCCTTATGTCCTTTATAGGCTCTTGTTCTCTTAGTGGCCAATACGTGGCCAAAAATTAATGACCGAGTAGGCCTGTCCCCACGGGCGGAGCCACCTTAGGCTGAGAGGGGGCGGATGCCCCCACTCATTTTTTTTGTGTGTGCAAAAAATATGTACTTTTTCAGTTGTTTGTAGCATTAGTATTAACTCTTTCATAAGCTATTTTTTTTTGTTGAAAAAGCATTTTCGGTCATGAAATTTATGAAGATCAATTGTGAAATTGTATGAGAGACTAATGGATAAATGATAACATGATTATTTTTGTAGAGAGAGATGTTTGATGGTATTGATAATGACGTTGTCATGCAACGCTTTCAAAACATTAAAACGCATCAATGGATATTGTGATATGTTATATGAAAAACCTTATGGACTAATATATAAGTGTTTTGTTTAGTATATTTCTGTGTTTTTTAATTTGTGACTTTGTTGTTTAAAGATGCCCCTATCCATGCATATCTCTGGCTTCGTCCCTGCCTGTCCCTGTGTCCTTGGAACTTCGCGCTATAAGCAGTCAGAAAGTACTTTATGAGAAAGCGCTTTGACTTTATTGCTTATAGATAAACTACACCGTTGAGTGGTCGGCTGTAGCACTCGAGACCATCCTTTCAATTCCGTTGGGCCTTGGTCTTCTCGTTTTTTGGACCTTCCTTCCTTCTTCCCCTTGGGCCTTTATTTCCCTTCAGGCTTTGTTCCCTTAGGCTTCTAGGGGTTGGAAAGGACCCTGCATTAGAATAATAAGTTATAATTTTTCTATGTCGCATCTTAAGAAACTTGTCTCCACATAGTAAAAATTCTCAATAAGTAAAAAACTATGCAATATTGTTGTGAACATAAATTTAAGATGAAATAAAATATTTTCGAGATTAGGTGTTTCTCTTTTACCAATGTTACATCTTGAAAATTGGCATGATCCACCATTAATCTAATGTGATTATTTGTTTCATACTATATTCCTTAGGGATAACTAAGTAAAAAAATACTTTTTTTTTTAACTATACCTCTATTAGATAATAACCTCCCGATATAAAATTGATGTATAAAGGTTTTACTTTAGCGCAACATCAGTTGAATTAATAACATTCGACTGCAATAGCAGGAAGGACCATGGAGTATGTTTAAAGGGTTTTTCATTTCCTGAAATGGTTAAATTATAGATTTAACATCTCTTACCCTTGATGTGTAGTTCTCCTTACAACTAATAATATTAACAAAAAACACTAAAAGAGGCAAATGATTGAAAGAAAAAAAAAAAACGCTTCTCATTTCGGTGGTGTTATCCACACACCTATATTTTACCTTTCACACTCTTCTGTTAATTTTTGTCATTTTTCCTTTGTTCTATAATATTTTTTTTTCCAAAGTATTACAGTTCAGCTTTATTTTAATTAATATATTATTGTTTGTTACACTTATAAGATTAATATTAATGCAGAAACTGGTGTGTGTTTCTTTGTGAGAGATGGCATCATAAACCAGTGAGACTGGGTGCATGAGGGCATGAAAAGGAGGCATGTGATCACCGCAAACTTTGCTACACCCTCACACTAATGTACAAATAGTTATCAGAATTAACTGTTTAATTAATAATTAAAGATGCAAACTTTTATCTTTGAAATTAATTAATATTATTATTCCCACCAGTACTACTGCTAAGGTTCCTTGGTTAATTTCCTATTATTATTTTCTGTTTACTTTGTTGGCTAACGATAAGAGCAAAATCAAATTTCAGAGACAGAAAATCGTGCAAACTACATAGCCAGCTTAGAAAAATATATTTAATTTATAAACAATGTATAAATTAAACCTAATTAACAGACCTTTGGATCAGCACTGTCTAGGATCCTGCATGCATGCATCTGCAGCATCATAGCATTTGTCAACTTCAATAAACAATTTAATTTCATTTACCAGAAACTAATTTTATGTACTTAATACTCTTAATTAGTTTTGTTTATACAAATAATATCGAAAGTTAGAGGAAATCGAACTTATAACATCTAGTGTAATAACAATATGAAATAACAGTTAGCTTCGCTGTTTTTCTCTTCTTAAAGAGACTCTAAGCGTTTTTCTTTCACATGAAAGAGCGCTTTGAAGAGAGATTTTTTTTTTCATGTTTGATGCACAAAATCAGATAGATTTTGGAACAATGTAAAGTGTTAAGTTTTCTACCTTGGTAAGGTTACTCCAGTCAGTTTTTTACCTTGGTAAGGTTGCTCCGGTCATTAAGTGTAGATACACATGTAGAGAGATAAAGATAGAAAAGCAAACACAAGATGTACGTGATCACCTTAAGTTGGGCTACGTCCACGTGGGTAGATGAGTTCTTATTAATATTTTAGAGTTTACATAATACAATGGTTTAAGCAAAATCATCATTAGTGAGTTCTAATAATGATTTAAGTACAACAATGGCATTACAAATTAATTGTAGGAGAATGATCTCTTTTTATAGTTGCCGCACCCTTTTGTCCGCGATCGATATAGGACTCTCGGGGCTTCATTCTAGCCTTGACTTGTGTCGCATTGTGATTGGCATTCTAATTAGAGATTAATGAAGTTAAAAAGTTGACCCGTTTTCAGTAGCTTCATATTTAGTGAAGTATGTTACAAACAACCCTGAACACCGAACCTTGAGCCAAACTGATATCTGGTTCGACCCAAGTTCGACCCGAAAATTTTCTTTTGAGTGATAAATTAGGAAACCAAAAAAAGTGACAATAAAAAGGGAGTTTGTGTTTCTATGGTCTTGGTCCTAGTATTTGTAGTCCTAGACTTATGCTGAAATCTTGTGGAAGTGAAACCACGTGCAATAAAGTTATAGAAAAAGTGTGGGTTTTGCGAAATGGAGGACATGGGTTTTGCGAACTGGAGGCAAATTGTCCTGCCCTCCTATTTGGTGCCCTTCTTATCCTCTTTTATTTTGTGCAGTCACAGGTTAAGTCACGTCAATATTTTATATTAATTTTTTTTATAGAGATAATAAAACAAAAAACAATAGAAATATAAAATGTTGACGTAGTTTAATCATAACTATACAAATAAAAGGAGATAAGAATGACAC